GATTCCTTCAGCTCTCTTACTTACACACATACATGCATGCTTAAAGTCGACAATTACGAATGCACGTTAACTTGTAATATTGTAGTACATGTATGCAGATATTGAAGTACAATCTTGAGTCCATCTATTGATATATAATCAATTCAATACCAACATGAATTGATGAGACTGACATTGATCGAGCTTGAGCAAACCTATAATACAGTTTTGTACATACTGTCTAATTGATCTGTTCACATTTCTGTTGTTTTGTGTACCTCTTTACAAATTCGGTTTTGCATTTATCTGATTTATATAGCATGTAGATAAAAACTTCTTGGAAAACTAACCTAGATAATGTGAAGAAGAATAAACCCTAAGCTACAAACGGTTTAATTAAGAATCTTGAAACGTGAATAATATATAAAAAATCCTAAGTTTTCTAAAGAGTTTTAAGTTTGTTAATGGTTTTTAAACAAAAGGGTGATAGTTCTATTGTCATTATTTTGTTTGTCGAAATCAAACATCCATTTTAGGTGGACACATCTTTTGGCTATTACATGACATTGTCGGTCCAACCTTTTCTGATGTAGAATTAAATGAAAAAAACACTGTGTCCATTTCAAATGTTTTTGTTGATGTAAAAAAAAAAAAAAATTATCCTTTAGATTTGGCCAAATATATTTGAGCACAAAGTCATGACTTCTTTCATGTATATATTCTGGACCGAACCTGCTACAAGATTTACGTCAGTATTATAAATGTCATAGGTTTTCTTCTATTTACATCATATTTTATTATTTTTGATAATATGGCTTTTTATTATATTCTTTTTGTTTTTATAACAATTGAATACTAGCCGTTAATTTGTATGTAATTTTCTTGCCGTTAGAACTTTTCTTCCCCCTATTAATTTGCACTATACGAGTTGTGAGTCCATTGTTAAGCGAAAACTCGGGAGCACAAATTCTACTCGGCTTTTAGACTTTTAGTGTCAGTGTCCATTTGCATAATCAAACACTAATATAAAATAAAACCATGAAAGCAATTATTTTTGAGGAAATAGCAGATAGCATAAAGAGAAAACAATACAGATATACTAAAACTGGTAATTGAAAAAGTCAATAAGTAGTACACTAAAATAATTTAATCGAGATTACTATAAAAACTGTAAGAAAGCGTGTGGTTCAATTAGTAGTAAGTCAAAGACTTTTTGCATACTTGCTTAGTTGTTTGTCAAAGTGGTCTCTGCTTTGCTTCTTATCTCAGCTTCACGTGACCCATTTAATTTTCCTCTCTTTTTTTTTTTCCTGTCCGAAGAAAGTCAACAGATTAATAACTTTTATAATGGGAGGGTAAGTAAGTAAAAGCATTCCAAATATGAGAAGAAGCATAAGGTGGAGACTGGAGAGTACACTACTTGTAGTTTTTTTTTTTAAGTGAAATAATTGATTTTTATTTGTTAGGGTTTGATACGAAGACATTTGTGATTATGCGTTTATGAAAACAGAACCATGCACTGACCATTTTGGGATGGTTAGAGAATATTGACGAATGTGAGTAGATGTCAAGGAGAAGAAGTTAGCTGAGATAGAAAGAGGGCTTAAACTTTCGCACATTTTATACTATAAATTATGGCAAATCGAATCCAAATGCAGATCAAATTCAGTAGTTTTTATAACTTTCTACTACTATTAGTTTAAACTAAATATATACGCCGTTATGATTAAGTGTGTCTTTTATAGTGGAACGTTTCGACAAATATGTATCAATCGTTGTTCAATATGTATGTATCCACCATTGTTTTATGATTAAGTGTGTCTTATATATATATATATATATGATATGATATGAATATGTGTCTGGATCGTTTTATTTAAAATCACTTTAGAATGTCATGAAATATATTTTTTCTATAAAAGTGAAATTATCTCATTTTCTTTCTATATTTCCGAGTGTCCCGATTGATTTGTTGTCAAACGATTCAGATCCTTGAATTCCAAATAAGACAGATTTGACTTTTATTGGCTTGTAATATTCCCTCTTACAACATCGGAAACACAAACAAGCCTCTCCATGTGCTCACTTCCTTCTCCAATAATCTCTTTTCGGGGCTCTCAATATCACACACGCTCTTTCTGTTTCTGTCACATCCATCTCTATATTTTAATGTCTGTACCAAAAAAAAGAAAATTTATTGCATGTCTTTCTTATTATCTCAAAATACATCATATATAGACTTTTTCATATACATACATATATATATATATAAGTTATATCGGGTCTGATTGGTAACCAAAAACTGTATAAGTTTTTGAACTGTTAGCTGGAATTGTAAGCTTTATCGGAATAGTGCAAAGCTGTATAAAAAAACTGTACAAAAAAATTGAGGATAAAACTTTTAGGAAACTTTTGTGATTGGTAAAAATAAAAGATGTACAACTTGTAATACTTTATTTTTTCTCACCAATCAAACCCATCATATACGTAAGTTATCTATAGGGTTTGTTCGCTTAGGATGTGGATAATTTAGTTGGTTAGAAAATGAGATCTATGTAAAAAACTAAGAATAGACTCTATATTTAAGTTAAATTAACGATAGTTGAATCGGCTATTACCCGCAATCGATTGGTCTGCAGGTTTTCATGGTACGAATAGGGAACATTTGCGTTAATTCATAAAGCTCCTTTTTCTTCTTCTTTTTTCTTTTTCTTCTGATTGTAATTATGAAATATACCAACTTTATAATTACGTGGCTCGTCTCGTACATATATATTTACATTAAATAATCTAAGTGTCTTTATTGATACTTTACATGTGACATGACAATTATGGCATTTTAACGGTGTTAACCAATACATCACGTCATCATCCGTGGTTCGAGCGGTTTCGTAACCGGCGAGCAAACAGTGTGTGAGAGAGGAGCCAAATGTGGAACCCACGCGTCTCCTCGACAGCCGAGCTTCTCCTCTCTGGCGCCATCTTAGAGGTCTCCCAATCGGACGGCTGTGATGCAGACGTTAGAAACTCTCAATAATTCAATGATGATGACTTGGCACTTTCTTATTGGCTCATCTGACTAGATCAGCTTTGGTTGCATTGTCTTTGGTTAATCAAAATTTTGTGATAACTTAATTAATAAGTTAATTGCTGACAAAAAAAGCTACTATGCTAATTATGTAAAACTACTTTTTCGTGACTACATTTTTAAATTTAAGTTATTCTAAGTTCTAACATTTCGAAAGTTAAAGTTAAAGGTGTATTTGTTTCCGTAAAAATCTCTTAATTAGGTTACTAATTAAAGTTTCTCAAAGATCGGGTTAAGTAAACATTCTTATTGTAATATGTGAACACTAGAAATTCACTTTTTCGCTTTTGGCCATTACTAAATAATGAAAAATACGAAGGGACAATATTAAAACTATAGGACCCAAAGAGAAAACGGGGAAAAAGATGGGTAGATTCGTCAATATCCGTAACGGATTTTTTGGTTGGTAAACGTGGTAACGCAGTTTTTACTTTTACGGAGTAAGGTAAATTAGTAAAAGGCCGCGAGGATAGCGTTGGAACTGCAAACAAACAAGAGAGATGACACAAGTGTCGGACCTCGAGCAGCCCTGTTCTGATGTCTTAACTTGTCTTCAACACTTGTTTTTGGTCCATAAATAATTAATCTGATAACTTACGTGAGAGTCTAGTAAATTTGTTTTCCCGTTCTGGATATGGAATTGCGGTGTACAAGAGTTTTTGGGAAAACAATAAAATAGCTTTAAAAAGAGAAATTAAAAAAAAAGAAGCAGAATACGTATGAAAGAAGCAAAATCTGGACGAATCCAAAGCGCTTCTTAAATAAGTTCGTGTGTCATTTATACATAAAAACAGAGCCGGTCCGGAGGGCAAGCAAGTGAAGCCATCGCTTAGGGTCTCACATTATAAAATTTTTTTTTTGGGAAAATTTTTTTTTTTACATTAACAAAAAGACCTAAATTTTTAGTTATGCGTAGGGTATCAAAGAAAATTTTGAAACTTTGGACCGGCCCTGCATAAAAAGCACAAACAAACATAAGAAGAAGAAGAAGGAGAAGAAACGTGTGCTGAGTCTGTGTCTATGTGACGCGATATACTAATAGCTGCCGCAAGCACATTTAATTTCACTTCTTTAGGTCCCATTCATACTTCATCATCATCATTCATCAACATCTCATGTTGATCATTCAGTCATACATCATCATGACGATGATGATCGTCCTTTGTTTTCCATTCGCAAGTTATAAGCTTTGACTTGTTAAGATATTAAACCGGCCTAAACACAAATTGGATTAATCAAATCAACCTCAATGTTTCGCAAACCGCTGTGCCACGACCAATTTTAAACCCGTCCTCTTTGCGATATAGGATCGATGAACTATATCAGTAGATCATCGTGTATACTATATAGTGATTGTTAATGTGAGGAGGGCTAAAATGGTAACAATGTATTGCTTTTGAAAAATTTACTTAACAACTATAGTCTTGAAAAGCAAATGTTGCCATCCTCACAATCAGCGTTTCTTATTGTCTCCTTTATTTATATTTTTATTTAAATACAACTGATCTGTTTACTTTTGTCGCTGTAATCTTTTTCCTTTTAGAAATCTATTCAAACCTAATAATAAAAGTGAAAAATTAAAGCCAAAACCAATTGGACAAAATGATCTAAAATAATAGTGGGTGGGACACAAGTCCAATTCCATTATTTTTGCTCAGTTTGAAAAAGAAAGTAAAGAATTAATTAATGTTTTCTTTTCTTAAATTAAAAAGAGTTTATTGAATCAGAAGAGTCAATATCACACTAATCACAGTCGGATTTTATTTCTGGAGGGTTTGGTATCTAGTACTAGTATCTACCAAACTTGTTCACAGCAAATTCGTATATTCTAAGAATAAACAAAAAACCACGACTCACAGAACTTTAAATAAAAGAAAACTCATTCCATTATACCTTAATTTTTTTTTTTATTTTTTTTGTGGAACATATAAACAACATATGAACACTGGGATCTCATTAAGAAAGTAAGAACCCAGAGAAAAAAAACAAGTACTGAATATAAGATATTCGTTTGATTTTATATTATGATTCTATAAAATTACTTAAGAACTATCACAAATTAAAAGAAAATCCTAATATAATTTAGGATTTGATCCGTTGGAGGAGAAAAAAGAAGGATTCTAAGAACCCCCAATAATTATGAAAAAAAAAACCATTTCCATGTATAATCACAGACAGGAACAAACTATGGAAAGTTTTGTTGTTGTTCACATAATATTGCAGCTTGATGTGTTCTCGTCATTGAAGTAATCAGAATACTGGTCACCATTGTGAGGCGGATACTGGTGTGGATACGGATATGGATACGGGTATGGATATTGTTGGTGCGGTTGTGGTGGCATATAGTTGACAGCTGGTGGTGGTCTAGCGTACATCATCGGCTGGAACCGTTCGGTGCCCATGGCTCGTTGCTGGTTCATAACCGCCGCTAAGTATTGTTGTTGTTGTTGTTGTTGCTGTTGCTGCTGTTGTAAGTTGGGATTTCCCGGTATTGAGTCTTGTCCGCCTCCGCCATTGCCGGGGACTTGGCCTTGGAAATATCCTGGTGGTGCTCCTGCGGATGGGCCGCCACCACCACCGCCTGGACCCATTGCGGGTAATCCCTGAACTGCCTGCATATTATTACTCATTGGACCGGGACCACCACCCATTTGTGGTAGACTACCCATTGGACCACCCATTGGCATACTCATCCCCGGAGGTCCTCCCCCTCCACCACCACCGCCTCCCATTGGACGGAAACCTGGCGGGAGTCCTCCACTCATGGGTCCTCCTCCTCCGCCGCCACCTCCCCCACCACCCTTTTTCCCACCGTTGGGACCACCGTTCATCTGGCCTCCTCCGCCACCTCCTTTATTACCGTTAGGACCGCCGCCACCTCCGCCCATTTTTCCATCTAACGTCTGTCCACCAGCGCCTTTACCACCGTTCTTGCCTCCGCCTTGGTTCTGATTCCCCATATTACCACCGCTTCCACCGGGACCTCCCTTCTTACCACCGGGACCTCCACCACCGCCTCCATTCATTTGAACCGGAAAAGGCATACCTTTACCCTCAATTTTACCACCGGCGGGTCCAGGACCACCACCACCACCATTTTTATGAGCGTTTAACATCTGTTGAGCGTTAGGCATCATCATGTTACCCCCACCACCACCGCCCATCATAGGCTTCATCTTGTTAGGCAGAGGTGGGTGGTCGTCAAACTCATCATCCTCCAAATCATCATCAAACTCGTCGTCATCATCATCAAACTCATCATCGAATTCATCACTGAAATCGTCCTCGTCATCATCATCATCCGGAACATTGAACTTCACAGCCTTCTGATTAGGATTATTAGGCATCTGAGGATTCTTGTTCATAGGAACAGAGCCAGGTCCAGGACCTGGACCACCCTTTAACTGAGGAGGAAGCTTCAGATCTTGAAACCCTTTCATCTGCTGAAGCTGTTGTAGCTGCTGAAGCTGCTGAGGATTCAACTGCTGCATCTGTTGTGGAGTTAACTGCGGAAGAACCATCTTCGGTGGTCCACCGCCTCCTCCACCACCACCACCACCGCCTCCGCGTTCTTTAGGCCTTTGTTATTGTTTGCAGGGCTCCACCGCCACCGCCACCGCCTTTGCCGCCGTGATCAATCTGCATGGCTTTGAACTGATTGGCCAAGTTGGTTGGTTCTGATTGTTGTTATTTCCTCCCTTTGAGCTCTCCCAAATTTCGGTATGGTTACCAAGTTTCCAGAGCTTCCTGATAAGAACTGATGGGTCTACGTTTCCAGATACAGTCACTTGCCCGTGCTCTGCGTCTATCTTTGTCGTGAAAACACCTAAAGATCAAAGACTTTGGAGTGTTAGTCAAATCTGATGACATAAGACTGGGTTTGAATTTAAATGAAATTTTCTCTCTGAAAGTCAAAACTTTGGAAGATTTTGTTTTTTACCTTCAATTTTCTGCAAGATTTTCTTCACTTTCTGCTTACAACCATCACAATGAATATTCACTTTGAGAACACAAGTCTACACAACAACAAAACAGAGTAAATAAAAACAGAGCGAATTTTCATGTTATGTAAGAAATATAAAAAGTGATGGACAAACCTGGATCTTCATAAACTCTTCTTTACTCATCTTTTCTTGAATTGGTGACGAAATTCAAATCTTCCTCACTTATATCACTAGATCTGAGACAACTCCTCTGGTTCTTGAAAGATTAATCTGCGACATCATAAGAAAGAAAATGTTATTAAAGAAATAGATTCAGAAGAAAGAAGCAAACGTAACTGTGAACACACACATATCATACATTATCTGAGAAAACAGAAGCAATAGCTTGAGAGAAAGAAGTCTCTTTTCTTATTGGGTATTTGCCATGGAAGACAAATATGCAAAGAGAAGGCAAATGAGAGACTTACTTGAATGAAGCAAAGAAGAAGAAGAAGAAGAAGAAGAAGGAAGAAAGTTTCAGACTTTACAGTAAGTTTGGTGAACATTAACTTCTCTACTTCATCTATTTCAGAATGAGAGGGAGAGAGAGAGAGAGAGAGAGAGAGATGATGATGATGATGCAAAGTTGCTACTTCGTTATCTTTTTTAAGATGGGCTTTAATTTATTAGGAGAAATGAAGTGAGTGCAGTACTCTTATTTTTGGGTTTTTATATTTAAATATAATTTTAATCTTTTTTTGGCCATTAGTTATAATTTAATGGCAAGATGTGAAAAGTAATTTGTCAAACTAGATTAGGAGTATGTGTCATAAAAGATAGGAGTATTAATGGTATTACCGTTTTTAATGTTCTAAATCCATAAATTGAATAAATAGAGAATTCTATCTTCTTTTTAACATACAAAAATAATTTGATTTTCGAATATACAGTATAGAGTCAACACTCTTAAAATAGAATTTATGAGTTTATTTTGTGCAGTGTTAAATTTAAATACTTTCCCTTTAAAAAAAAATTAGTAACTGAATACTTATAATACATAATTAGTGTGAAAATAAACTATTACGTAGAAAGCAAACGTTGGAAATGGGGGCTATGTGAATATTCATAACATCCCCTATATAAGAATGTGCTATTTATTTTAATTTTCACTTTATCAGTGTATTAGCTCGGCTTATGTGGCTCGGCTTGGCCTCAACTAAACAAACAATTGTTTTATGGGAATTCGTTAAAGTATTTAAATTAATTTTGTTTCTTAATTACGACAAATATAGGCCGGTTAATTTGACGTTACTATGGTGATGAAAACGTGAAGTTGTTCTCTCTTTATTCCTTCCGTATAAACCGGTCCTAGGAATTTTGCTACATTAAATTTTGGAATGATCTTTCATTCTTTCTTACCCAATAAATTAATTTCGTAACTATAATAAAACCAAAATCAATCTTAACGGTCAGATTAAATCTCCAATTATCTTATAACATAAATCCTAAAAGAGTTTTAAAATTTGATCTGATTATTGATTATTAAAAAGTAATGAGATGTAAGAAACTAAAAGAACTGAACAAACAGCAAAATTTGGCTGACATATAGTCGCACAAGTGAATTTTTTAGAAATGATAAATGTACATGTAAATTTTAACTAATAATATATCACAAAAAACACCATTCCTCAATATTAATATAAATTAATTCCTACACAATATATAAAATATTATATGCATTTAATTGGATTTTTTTTTTTTCATATGGTAACTCTATATTAGGCTTGGAATAATCAAATAGCACATTTAAACCATCCATTAAAAATAATATATTTGTGGTTTTAAAATATACACCTAATAGTATGTATGATAACGATTTAACAATGTTTTAAAAAAACAGAGTGGGTGTTGAATTGGATCACGCACGGTCCACAATCTGGTCTGGCCGGTTTGGAGATGTATTATTATCAATAAATTAACATTATTTTAATATAAAAATGTATGAATATATATATATGATTTATAGAGATAATTGGGCTGTGCAAGTAGTTCATTTTCGTGTCACAAATAACCTTAATTATGAAAGAATCATGAAGGACTTCGACATTTTTGTCATTTTATTTGGTTTCGATCCGGTTAAGACTTTTAGAGTCTGGTTAGTATTTTATTTAATAGCGTTTGATTTATTATGGTCAAGAAATTCAAAACGGTAAATTACTATATCTAGGATGAAATTAAATATCACATGGACTTTTCAGACCGGCTCAAAATATGGAGTGTCATATAAATAAGGGCAGAGAAAGTAAAATGAAGCAAATAAGAGTTTTTATGATTGGAAATTTGTAATACCCAATCATGATTGATTTAATTTTACGATTCAAAGAACTATTGACCATATCGATTCACATACTCGTAATAATTTGTCGCAATTATATCATATCACGCATGGCTTGTTTTTTCAATCATTAACAAACTATACTCGATATATGTATTTATTTCGTTTCATATAAAAATCATCACAGATCAGGTTCGGTAAACAATTCATTCATTCTAATTTCTATCTAAACCACACCCATAATTGGAGGGCACTCTAATGCTTATCCAGTTTTTTTTTTTTTTTTTTTTTTTTTATCCTAGTCTTAATATATTTTAGTTAAAACACCCAAAAATTAAAAAAGTTATAATTTAATACTACTCAAAATTAATTCAACTAATGAAAAATACTGCAAAATTTGAATGGTCACAAGATATTAAAACAATATTAAAATATAATATATTTTAGTATCCAACTTTTTTTTTGTGGTCAAAATTATAGTATCCAACTATCCATGCTTTTTATTTTTGATCTTTTTGTCCAAAATTACTTCAATAATTGAATGATGTGTATATTTTAGTGAAAGTTAAAAACTGAAACAGTGGGACCAACTAGATGAAAATGACAAAATTGGTTAAAGAAAGAGACTTGTTAAGTGAAAAACTAATAATAATTAATAACTAAAAGAGAGAAAAAAATAGTGGAAAAAGATAACAAAAAAGAAGAGAAGAAAAAAAAAAGGTGGGGTTGGGTAAATGATGAAAGCCTCACCCTTACGAGTGAACATAATCACGTTTTCGGCCGCATCAGTTTTTCTTAATTTTCTTATAAGTAATATTTTAGTTATTAAGCATTTGTTTTCTCTAAGTTTTAGACACTTTTCTTCTACGCATTTATCATTATTGCTCTTTTTCTCAAAAGCCTAAATAATGTAAACATGGCATGAAACACTCTTCCCTTATTTTAGTTTTCCTTTTGGCTTTTAATTAAAATAATACTATAACTATACTCTTTTTTTCCTTTAAAGATTTAACTGTTTGACGAAAAAAGAAAAATTCACTGGTGTACCTGTCCATTAGTAAACGAATAAAACAAAAAAAAAGGTTATAAACACACATGCATACAAAAATATACAAATCTCATGAGGTTTGATTTCATTCTTAACTTTTTTCTTTTCTTTTCTTGCCGAAGCACCAACTAATTAATATCAAATGTGAGCATGTTCCTTGGTCAAAATTTTCGTAAGTCCACCACGAATTTATTGTCTAAGACCAAATCCTAAACAACCAATTAAGTGGTTCATGCACAACGGATTTGTTCGTAGAACCAAAATCGTCACTGAACATGTGAACTTGAACTTCTATCCTAACCCAACTCTAACTAACCACTACGCTACTAATTCATGGAATCTGAGCATTTACTAAATTAAATTCGAAAATGATAAGAATCATAAGATTGTAATTACTCCCACGAATTTTAATTGAAAAGAGAACAAACTGTAAGATGTTAGTAATTATTAGTATTACTTGTTAGCATGCAATTAATATGATCGTACCATTAGCGGAAATTAAGTGCATTGTACATGAGATCGATCATAAACCCTAATATTGTTAGGTGGTTCACGCTTTTTTATTACTCTCTCCGTTTCATAAAGAGTGTCGTTTTAAGGTTTTATTTTTGTTTCACAAAGAGTGTCGTTTTAGGTTTTCAATGCAAAATTTAATGATTTTTTATGTTTTATGACTATTAGTATTCTGCAGATTGTTTTACTATTGGGCAGATTATGTTTAGGTATATAGTTAATGATGTTTTTGTTTAGAAAAAACAAAAAATTTAATGTTTTCTTAATCTGTGTGCAAAACTCTAAAATGACACTCTTTGTGAAACATATCCGACGATTTTCTTACACGTAAACTGTGGTTTTTGTGGAATATATACTCATAAATGTTTATATATAGAGAAGTTCTGAAATGAAAAAAAAAAAAACCAACGGACGAGATACAAGCATGTTACTTCCTAATAATATTAGGGGGGTGTTAAAGCAAACAACTAAAATTGTTACTCTTAAAAAATCTGGTAGATATTTCATCGCCATATCAACGAGACTAATTTGTAGTTTTGTACCATATAATTGGATAGGACAAAAAGTAACGTTAACTCGTATACTATAGGCCAAGTCTTTTAGAACGAAAGGACATGGTACAATTTTGACATTTATGATAAAGTTTGGCGATGGCTGGGGAATTATTTGATTAAAACTTGCTGCATTATTGAATTGTTTGAAATTTTTTTTAGTACATATATTTTTTTTTTGTACATATATGCTTGCAAATTGGCATTGAAGGATCAAAACGAGTTTATCTTGCCAGTCAAAATTATAAGTCGGTATATATGCACGACCACCGTAAAATTTACATGATGTTCTAAAATTAATTTAAAAAGTTTGACAGGAGGACTTATATATATTTAAGGGAAAAAAAAATTTGAGTGTTTTTTGGTATAAGTGCTGAATTTTTGGTTTGTACATTTTTTCTTACTGAAAACAAAAAGACTTTTGATCTAAAGAGAGTCACAAGACTTGAATTCTCGACAACATAAAAACAACTTATCAGCTAACTACCAACATTTGAATAAATTTTGGGTTTATTGCGATAAAACTTGTAGCTGAATATTTGCCTAAAATGATAGAATTGAGTCACATGAGTCTCCAATGTTCACATGGGGTCATCTTCTTCTTATTGACAAAATGACATTAATTGGGGGTTTTGTCTCTATTCTCTCCTCTTGTTACCATCTTTTCCTTATAGATTCGTTTTCTGTTTTTTCTTTTCTTATAAGAATCTTATCACAATACGTTTCGGACTTGAATTGCTATATTTTAGCTTGGAAAATGTTAAACTTATTGGCTCTTAATCCATATTTAGTTAAATCTTGACAGTGTGGATGATAATAGAGGTTTATATTTATTTGGTAATTATATATGGTTGAGAATTGACAGTATATATAAACTATGAACTGATTGAAATGACAATATCTTTGCCGGTAGTACTAGATATACGTATTAGTTTTAACTTTTAACATACCAATTTTTTAAAGGGTAATATTAGCAAATAGCCAAATTCTACACAAGAATTAAGAAACTAACGTTGTGTCAGTTTTCTTTAGAAACTAACTCTTTTTCTTGTGGGGTAGGGTTAGGATAAATACGAAATTATCCTTGTAAGTTATAGTAATTACAAGAACTTTGTCGCTGGATATAAAAAAATAAGACAAACAGAAACGGGTAATTTTAATGAATAACATGTATCAATAAAAAATGACACTAGATCTGAAAAAAAACATCAAAATGACTTGAAAGTTATGAAAATTATAGTGTTTTAAAAAATATAGCTCGTCAAAGGAAACAATAGCATGCCATTTCAGAAAATATAACGTGTTGAAAAATTATAGCGTGTTGAGAAATAATAGCATGCCATTTAAAAACAAATAACATTTTATATGAAAGGTGGTGCCGGTGGCTATAGAGGTGGTGGTGGTCGTTACATAAGTGGCAGTGATGGTTACGAAAGAAAGAGGTAGCAGATATTTCAAATATGGGTGGAGGCGGTGTTGTTGAGGTTTATATTGTAGTGGTGGTTTAAGAGGTGGCGGTTGGTGGTGTCGATACGATTCGACGGAAAAGACGGTGATGGTGGAGAAAGAAGACAAACATATACAAGTAATTTTAATGAATGACATGCATCAAATAAAAATCACACTGGATCTAAAAGAAAAACATTGAATTGGCTTGAAATTTGTAAAAATTACAGTGTTTTCGAAAAATATAGCTTGTCAAATGAAACAATAGCATGCCATTTTAGAAAATATAGCGTGTTAAGAAAATATAGTGTGTTGAGAAATAATACCATGCTATTTAAAAACAAATAGCATGTCATATGAAAGGTGGTGACAGAGGCTATGGAGGTGGTGGTCGTCGTTACGGAGGTGGCGGTGATGGATACGAAAAAAAAAAAGTAGAAGAGATTTCAAATATGGGGGGACAAGGTGTTGTCAAGGTTTATACTGTAGTGGTGGTTTAAGAGGTGGCGGTTGGTGGATAAGACGTTGTTGTTGGTGGTGTCGCCTTCGATTGAGAAGAGAAAGAGGAAAAGATATTTCAATTTCGATGATAAAGATTTGATTATGGGTTTGGGCATCGTTGTGGTGAAGAAGACAAAGGAGAAGAGAGTGGTTGAAGATGGATGGAGAAAAAAAAAAATTAAAAAAGAATAATGGAGAGAGAATATATAAAGGTTGCAAATGTAATTTACATAGTCTCCCCGACAAGATACTGTTGTTGAATGTTAGTTTTTTTATTCTTTTCCATTTCATGGTTAGTTTATGCATATTCCCTTTTTCAAAATCCATATAGCATATCTAAAATATATATTTTTTTCAATCCTAAAACAGTAAAACTTGTAAGTGAAGAATTTTTGGAGCTAGGTTACATGCATTACAAGAAAATAAATTCTAGAGTTTCCAAAAAAAAGATACAAAAAAATTATCAAGGAAATATAATCTTTTCAACCTACATCTCCAAGATAACATCCAAAACGCATAAATCAAGTCCAAACTTCTAATCTATCGATCTATTTTACTACAGATTTTTCATAGCTAAAATAGCCATGAACTAAACTTTACCAAATATTATAGACTTCAATAAACACCTATCATATCAGTAACTCAAGTGCACCACCACCTTAGTCCTTACATCGACGGTTGCCATCTCCACTAAACACCACAAATAGATCTTTTACCAAGCCATAGTGTGACGAGGCCACATACACCTATGTGTCTCTCATATTGAATCCTTAACACGTATGAAAAGTTATGAGCCTTTCCCTTTATATAACCAATAACATAACCTCCTAAAGATCTAGATGTCTACAAAAACTTCATATGTATATCTCTTTTTTTTTTTTTTTTTCATCTGTGAAATATATATTGATCAAGAGGAGATACAATATTTGAGCAACAAGTGCTGATAACCAGAACACTCCTACCTCCAACTAAACAAAAATTGGCTACTCTAAAGGTCAAACAAACCTCAGCAAACAAAAAAGCCAAGCGAAAGGACTAAACAGAGGAAAACCCCATCTCACTAACAAAGAGATCATGTAGCCAATCCGGATGACCGGTAGCTACATAAGACTGAGTGAAATTGTACTTTGTCACACTTTGGGCAATGAGATAGGGTCCTCTGTTCATTGATCTCGATTCTAGCACCACAACCCATTCCACAAAAACCTTCAACGCATTCTCCATCTCTGAGACCTGCATTCTAAAAGAAGGCCAGGCTAAAGGCCTATTGATAGCACTTACCAGCGACGGGTCTTCAAAAGCAAAGACAACCCTGGTGAACCTATGGCTGAACATACAATCTGCAGCCCACAAAAAACACTTCAAGTAAGCAGCATCCCAAGAGGATATATTGTTGAACATCCTCCTACTATGAAACTTCACTCTACCATGAGAGTCCCTTACAACCCACGATGCCCCAACCATATTTTTGCTTTTTACCCAAGCCACTCCTATATTACACTTGTCCCACAAAGAATCAGGGGCTTTCCATACCTTTTTAACCAGTCTTCTCTCACCCTCATGAAGAAGCTCAAGCTCTTTATCAGCAGAATGAGAACAAAGCCACTGTGAGGCATCACCTTTAATCTTGTTGATGGTATCCACAGCCAAGAACTGTTTGCCCTCAATGGTAAATTTGTTTCTGTTTTTCCACAACACCCACAAGATCCAAGGAAAAGGTTGGCTAATTTCAACAGGAACCTAAGGATTATTCCAAATGGAGAGCACATATTGGAAGTTTGCAAAGATTGAGGATTGGCTGAATCCCGAGGCAGGTGAAGGGAAGAGAGACAAAGCCCAAACCTGTCTTGTAATAGCACAAGTGAAAAGAACATGGTTGATAGATTCATACTCCTCACCACAAAACTGGCATCTTTGATCAATCCTCATTCCTCTTGTAGCAAGCCTTTCTCCCACAGCTAAGGCTCCACTTAGTGCTTTCCACATAAAGGTCTTTATCTTTGGAGCAGTCTGTAAATCCCATACTTTGATCTTGATTCCATTCAGGGAAGGCTGCAAAGTAGCCTCACATATTAAGTCCCTCTTTTGTGTATCAAAGGCCAACGCATAACCCGACTTAACAGAATAATCCCCAGATTTTTTGTGTTTCCAAATCCGGAAATCAGAATGATCCACCGCAGGCTTATTTGCCAAAATGCTCTGAATATCTTGAGGGAGGAACAAATCATCAAGAAGGTCAGCGTCCCAACATCTATTGGGAATATCAATAAGATCACTCACCATAAGACAAATGTTTCTTAGGCTTTGTTTGAGGTATGGTGGTCTCATTTCATCCTCATCACATACCCATGGATCCAGCCACACATTAAGAGACTTCCCATTCCCAACCCCTCTCTTTAAACCTTTCACAAGAAGCTCTCTACCGTGCAGCACACTTCTCCAAGCAAAGGAGGGACGATCCCCTATAGTAGAATCCAAAAAGCCAGAATCTTCAAAGTATCTACTTTTGAGCAACTTAGTGAGCAGGCAGTCCGGGAATTGCAAGAGTCTCCATTCTTGTTTAGCTAGCAGGGCTTGGTTGAAACATTGAATATCCCTGAAACCTAAGCCCCCATTCTCTTTAGATAAACAAAGCTTTTCCCAACTAATCCAATGGATCTTGCTTTTATGCTCAAGAGCATTCCACCAGAAGTCCGCCATTGCACTTGTAAGAGACTTACAAGTAGAGACAGGAAGTTTAAAACAGGACATTGCATAAACCGGCATCGCCATTGCCACTGCTTTTAACAGAACTTCCTTACCACCTTGGGACAGACTCCTTGCAAACCAACCTGACAACTTTGACTTAAGTCTCTCATGAATGTAGTCAAGCATATCAATCTTCGATCCACTAAAACATTCAGGTAACCCCAGGTAAGTCCCAACACCCCCTTCATTCATAATACTTCCTTTTTTCCTTCAATTCACATTATGTTGTGCGTTGAGCTGTATCAACTAAAATCCAATAATCTTTTAGTCTTTCAATCGTCATTATCTTCATTTTAAGTTTAACCTCAGCCAAAATAACCCTTTGAAAAGTAATCTAGCTTTTAGTTCCTAAATATTCCATTGAGCAACACCAATCATTTTTTTCCTTGTGGCTAATGTAATACAATTGTGGAGTTAGTTAAACTTAAACTTCTTTCTGAACCATATCATATCCATTGTAAAGTCAAATCTAAGAAAAGAAGGTTGGTCCAAAATAGAATGTAGGAAATTGAAAAAATATGTTGATACAGGGACACATACATGGAAAGATATATATAGGTGATAGATAAGATTCGTTAAGGAATTTTGATTAAACATCATGGTATGACTAGTAAACATTGTCATAGGCACAAAGGGAAAAATATCACTTCAAATTCAATATATAGTCCAAAACAAGACAAAGACTATCACACATAGACCCTAGGGTTTTCATTATTTAAAACTTCAAATTGTATATGATACCACATGGAATCAATAATGTATATGGAAAATTAATATTGCTTGTGAAGAGGGTCACTTCACTACTATCAAATGAAGACTTTGGATTCGATATCTTCCTCATTTCAAAAGTTTAACATTCTGTCAAAAAGAATGAACTCAAGCTTCACTTTTTTTAACACTTTTTTTTTTCTCAGGCTTAACTTCAATAGGAAACATTCTCCATCTGCTACCAGCTTTTCCTTTTCTTTTAGCCTTTTTTGTAGACAAAAAGCAAAAAGGAGAGACGAAAAAAAGATTACTTCTTTGAATGTTCTTCATCAACTTCAGTTCCCATCTCTCTTTATTTTCTTTTGAATCTTTGTAATTATCAAGGTCCCCATTTATGTCTTCTACACAAACTTTTACTTTCTCAAAAAGAAAGAGTTAAAAGAAATCCAAATGAGGGACACATAGAGCTATCCAAAACTCTAGCAGATTTTTCCTGTCTATCTACATATAGAATTGTGGTTACTACGAGGTTCGGTTTCTAGATTATATAACCCAATCCATTATGATAAACGTATGATTGCAAGTTATATTTGAGCAATGCGCAAACCAAAAAGTATTCAATTACATATCAAAGAGATTGATGAGTGTTTTAACTAGAAAGATACAAAGAGAAAGTTTCTCATTAGAGCTATATACATTACTGACTAAGACCAACAAATATGTGCAGAGTATGACATGAGAAAACACATTTAGTATAAGAAAAAAGAGCAAAAGAATTCGTTTTGACAGGTTTCCAAAAAAAAAAAAAAGAAGAAGAAAAAGAATCAAACATGGTGTTTAAGTGAAGGGAAGAAACCTCTTTTTCAGTGTTGTTCATCACTACTTTCCACTTTTATCTCTAAAAGCTCAGCGATAGGTTGTCTACAAATGGGACATTTGTTTGACTGAAACCTCAGTTCTTTTGCGCAGTCACTGCACAAACACTGCAAGAGACAACACAACATGATTTAGTCTCAAGGACAATTCAACCAAAAAGTTATATTCTTGTGAAAGATTTGATGTAGATTGGCTATAGAGTTTGAAATGACAACAATGTGAAGTAAGTCTAAGATGACGGAATTTGCCTGTTCATAACTGAAACTCTGCCAACGAATTATAAGTTTACCGACTAAATGAAAAATTGCGTTTAGAAGAAAGCAAAGAGAATAGCTAGAAGTTCGTACCAAATGTCTACAAGGCATGACGGCTGTGTTCTTAGGTTCAGTCAAGCATATGACACATTCTTTGTCACCGGTATCCTCTAAGCCCAACGCAGCATTACCTTGTGTGGTTGAATTATCGATTCCATACAACTCATGTAGTTCATATCGATCTCCTTCAATCCATAGGATCTGTTTCATGACTTTCACTTTGAAAGATCCATCATTAGTCTTCTCCAAACACGCTTGAGTAATTTGCTTATGAACAAATGGTTCCTCTGAAACCGAGCTTGGTGAGATTACTGTCTCGGCTGATATTACAAGTGGGTACACCTCTTCTGGTGATGGTTTCGACAGATCATCCAGTGAAAAGAAGCCTAGGTCGGTTCCTGTCCCTGGAGCTTGTAGAAACTTCTGCGCGGTACCTTTCTTGAAAGGGACTTTAATCGGTGGGAAAGCTTCTGGTAAATCCGGGACGATTGTGCAGTTTGATTCCTCCTTTGCAAAAAATATGATAGTGAAACTGAAAATAAGACAAGGACCATAATGAGACTCCTTGTTAGATAATCTCAATACCTAAACTTGGTATGCAACACAAGAGAGTAATAAGGTTGATTCAGTAGCTAACTAGCTTAGTGTTTCTGAACCATTAAATGAACTACAAGAACTCCTATTAGAGAATGATACAAAATCTGCAATCAGTTATGCAACTGAAGCTTGAATTGTTTGGTTTCTGAACCAATCACATACACATCAGCTCCACAGAACTGAACGAAAATGAAAAAAAATAACTAACTTTCACTAAAGAAATGAGTCATATCATGTAAAGTTTGAACCTTTATGATCCAAATTTGAGATTCAGTATAATATACAAGTCCCCTCTACGCTAATTAGCCAACCTCATCCTAATTCCGGTTCTAAAGTCGGAAGCTTCGTGAAGAATCAATACCTGCCGTCGAATAAGGCATCGAAGACGAAGGAAACAAGATGATGACCAGGGTTAAGATCGTCTGCTTCGAGCCTCACCGTAGCTTTATGCACATTGACATCGTTCTTCACCTTCTTGGCGCTCTGATGCTCCACGTAAGGTGCAGGCGGTTGCATAACCGGAACTTGAGGCGGACCGAAGAAAACCGGTCTCATCATCGGATTAAACCCATTGTGATGATAACCGGTGAAATACGGAGGAGCTTGTTGCGGGTAGTATTGGTTTTGATGGTAGTTTTGACCGTACGGTAGGTAACTAATCTGCGACGGCGGAGGCTGAGAAGACGACGGTGGTGGTGGTGGTGGAGGAAGAGAGAGCTGTGGAGTTGAAACGAGGTGGTTGTGAGAGTAGCTGTACTCGTTTTGAGGCGGCGGCTGTTGTGGTGGAGGATCGGAGTGATAGTACGGCGGATTGTGGTGGGGACGGTGGTGGTGGTTGTTGTCTCGTCGACGCTTGCTGAAGGAGATCCCCATAGCCTGAAGAAACGAGAAGAGAGACGGAGAGGAGATTCGGAGAGAAGAAGAAGTCAGATCAAAAGATTTGTCTTTGTTGAAAGATTATTAATTACATTATTACATTTCGCCAGATTTACTGCCTGCCATTTTTGTATTGAAAAGTCAACGCGTGTAATTTTTTTTTTTTATCGGATGTTCCCGAAGAGACTTGACCGGCTAATGAAAAAGACATGACCATTTCTTCTTGTTCAAAATCTAGAAAAGCACGTACTACATGACGTTTTTCGAACTGATAGAAAAATCTATTAAAAATCAACTACTATAGGTTAGTTTACTATATGAATTTCACAAGTGATGTTTTTCAAAGTTGACCACATATATCATCAACAAATTCTTAACTTTGAATATTATGTTAGTGAAAACTGGACCAACAAATTCTTATTTTCGAGACAAGTCTCACTTTTGCCCTTCCCGACGCCGGCGAGCATTGCTCGCCGGCGTCGGACTGTTCATTCCTCTCCTTTGTTTTGTTGTTGGAATCTCATCTTTAGTATGTACTTTCCCGACCACCGTGTTTTCTTTGAAACACCGGATTTGGTGGCCGGAGACTCTATCCTTGCGGATCTCAAATCTCTCTCCCTCCGCCGGTTTCTCCCGGCGAGAATCTTTCCCTCCTTCCGTCGGTTGACCTCGTCGCCGACGAGATCTTTTTCAACTTCACGAAGTCCAAAGCAACAACCTCCGCTACCTTTCCCCGCCGTCGATGGCCGCTGTCTTTCAACATTACGTCGCTTTATCCTATATCTCAACCATGTTGCAAACCTTCTCGGGATTTTGCAGAAAGTCTCGAAGATATATTCTTTCAAAGCTCCGTTGTCTATATCTCACCGACGACGAAAACTTGTCAACCTCCGATCTCCGACTCATCTCACAATCAATCTCTCCGCCGGATCTAGAAACTTCTCAGGTGTTTCCCGAAGATCCTTACCACCGTGTATTGTTACCGAACTCTCATACGCATCCTCCGCCGGTTATGCTGCTTTTCTCAAGCACCGATTCAGATCCTTCAGATCTGTTACCACAATGTGTATCAATCCTCTAGATCTGTTGTCGTCGAGTCTGCAATTTGTCAGAAGAATCTCCTCCCAGCTACGGGTGAGATCGGCTCCAACAGCCCGGAACTATTTTCCGGCACTCTTTCTCGCCTTTCCGGTTAACCGCCGACTCTGTCTCGTTTCTAAGTATCTTTGTCGATTAAAGGACGAAACCCTAATCTTGGTGGGCCTATTTCTGCCTTCCTGGTCTTTGGGCCAGAGTTCATATTTTTTGTTATTGGACCTGATGAGCCCAGAAAGAGACATAATGAATATGGGCCAGCTTTTACTCATGCTATTAAATATGGGCCAGCTTTTGCCTTTCTGGTTTTTGGGCCAGTGTTTAGTCTCTTTGTTTTTGGGCCTGTTGAAACCAATAAGAAGATCCTCGTGTTCCTGTTTAGTTGTATTAAAGTCTAATATGTTGAATCTGCAACGTTTCAATGGCTCTTCTATTAAGAGATTTTGCTTGGCAATTTGGAAGCTCTTATCTTTCAATTTTGAAAATTCGGTTCCAGGGAACCGTGATATTATGAGAGTTATGTGGAATCGGATAATAAGGCGTGAAACCAACCACATTCATTATGGTGGTAATCACAGCCTGTTAAAGCCATTGATGTCCGGTTGCAACAAGTCTGGGAGAATGAATCGAGGTGGTCATGGCATGATTGGAATGTTGACACTGGATCTGTTGTTTCCCGACTCCATTATTTCCTCCCATGAGGAGAGACATGGCTTTAACTTCCTCTTTGATGAAAGAGAGACCTTTTCTGCTACCATCCCTCAATGGCGAGGTAGATTTCTAATGTGCCTCCTCTTGAGATGCTTAGGTGTGTTCCAAAACACTTTGTTTTCTCGGGTGACTACCTACGCGAGACCGGGAGCACTTTTATACCCTTTTTCATCACTCATACTCACGGGCACTAACCTTCACTGCATCTCTTTGCTTGGTTCGGGAACTCTGCATTCAATTGGAATGAGTGCTTATGCACTTCAGGCGCATTATTGGAAGTATAAAACTGCTTGGAGTCTTTTGTATTCCTTGCGGCAATGGTTATCATGGAGCTTGGCATTCTGGAAAAGGACAGCCCTCCGCATCGACGAGAATCCTTCCTTCGTGGTGGAACTCTTTATCACTAGTATTTCTATTTCTTTTGTTGTAGCTCTTCAATCTAGTTATTTGTCTTATTGTATTAAGGTCCGGATGTTGTTTTGCTCTCGAAGCAACATACCGTGGATATCTATCCTCCTATGTAAGTTTATTGGTCTTCGTTCGTCTCCTCCTAGAGAGGAGTTTGTATGCCTTTAACTTAATATATTGGAGTGTTTGATGTCAAAAAAAAAAAAAGAATATTATGTTAGTGAATTATATTTAGATATTGAATTTATAAAAGTTTACAAGTTTTCATCTTAATTTTGGTTTTCTTCCAATTATGTTAATAAGATGATATTTTAAATAGTCCAACTAAAGTTGAGCCAATATAATAAAAGCCAATTTTGGTTATGAATAATACCCATATATTAATTGATGGGTTCAATTTATGCATAACAGATTTTGTGTATATATATATACCTAAGTCGGATTCAATAATCTTCATTAAATAACCAGTGATTCAACAATCTTTATCCACAATTTATGATAATATACTAATAGTTTAGGAGATTTTTAAGATATCTATAACATTTTTAGGTCAAAGATATGTTTAGACCCAGGATCTTTCAAGACGAACAAAACCGAGGAGACTGGCAAGAGAAACCCAAAAATATAAACCGGCCGGTTAAGAAGGTAACTGACCGGTTTCATCTTAGAATGTTTCCATAACCTGTGGTCTGTGGATGTCAACAAACTGTCTGATTAGCTGGAGCAATTAGAAGAAACTCAACCCAAAATCCATTTAGTTTCTTTTTATTCATCCAATATTTTAAATCACTGTGAACTAATAATTACATCTCAAAGTTATTAAGAAAAAACAACTTTTTAAAAATAATTTTTAATCTATGTTATTATACAAACCAATAAAACTATGCTTTGTAAGTTAAAGATAAAGATTATACAAAGTCTTCAGCAGCTTTTTTTAATGACTATGGTTTACTTGGTCCTGAGGTTGTTGAGCATCTATCTTTATTAAGAGAGGCTCATTCAAATCCGTCGAAGCATCATCAGTAACGGTCAGCTCTGGCAAGGCTGCAACCGCTTCGTTCATGTCTCCTCCGTGCTCTGCTAAAGCTTTTCTTAGAGCGTCCTTCGCCACCTTCGTAACACACACCATTAATATCACTGCAAGGAGACAGATAAAAGAAGGAACTAATAACATTAGTGATTCTGCGCAATTGAAGGAACTGGTAACATTAGTTATGTCGAACTAACCGGATATTACTAGGCTCGAAATCAAGAACGCCTGCAAATTGCAGAACATGGGTCAGAAAAGAGATTGAAACAAGAAGCTGAGAATGTAATTAAAATTTGTGCAGATCTTACCCAGCGACCTAGCGAGAATTCACTCCACTTGTGAGTTACATCAGAAAGGTCTTTTAGAGTTGTTCCAACATACACTAACGCAAGTGTTATTGGCTGCAAATTAACAATGTATCAAGCTGTATTATTTCGATCTAACAATTTAAACATTTTACCGTGGTTATGGAGAGGTTGATTAGATTAGATTACCATCATCCCTAACCAAGAAGAAAGCAAGTATGGACCTAGCCGAATTGGCGTGACAGATAAGAGGTAGTTCAACATGCTGAAGGGGAGAAGAGGAGCAAGCCGGAGCAGCAAGCATATCTATATTCAGTTTTGCATATTCATAAGTTTCAAAAGAAGAGTGGTCAGAACAAAATTTGTATTGGTTCTCAGTGCAAACCTTGAAGCCGGATTTCTCAATCGCGAGTGCCACTGACTGAAACTGAGGATAGTCCTTTAATTTTGCAACTACAAAAGGTTTTCCAATCTGCATAAGAGCATTTTCAAGTAAGTACCAAAATATCAAAAAAGGATAGCATCAGCGGTTTATGCATGCCGCTAAGCAGGTCAGTTCACAAATCTAATGGTTCTGTCTGCAAATCAATAAGAATTTGAGAGGCTTACTGTACGGCCTAGAAGAAATGCGGCTCCTGAGCCAAGTGTAGCACCGACTGAGTCCGCCACAAAACCAATTGGCAGCCCAAAAAGGTAGCCACCACCGATCTGAATACATCACAGCTTCAACCAAATAAGATTTCTCAATTTTATAGAAAAACTAGTCAATCTAACAAAGAAAGTTGAGCGTGGATGATAGCCGTAATATATTACACAAAAAAGAAATTTATGTATATACCGTGAGAACCGAGGCAGGAACAGCCAAAACTGTTAGAGGAATGTACGCAACAGCTCTGCACACATGACAAAAGAAAGAGAAGTTCAGTACCAAGGTAATCTTATGTTCCCATATTTCTAGAAGTTTAAATGTGCAAAGATCTCGCAATCTATGGATAAACATTAGCAATGAAACAGTGATAACGTAAGAATCTAATTAGCTTCATAGCTCAAGAAACAAGAAAGAAGAGAGACTTACAGGGCAAAAGGTCCCCAAGGCCCTAGATCTTGTTCAACCCATAACAAAAAATCCTTCAATAACTGAAAAAACACAAATGAATGAGTAAGTTTCAGATCATAAACTAGCTAATGCTACACATCACTGCTTCAAATGAAACGAATTCAGAGAAGGAAACATATTTTCAAGAGATAAATCCATTAGCTTTACACAGAAATCATATAAAAAGGGTAAATTCTCCTTTCACATGACCAAAGCTCAATCCTTTCATTGCTACGAAACCTCAAACGAGACTTGAAGAACACAAAGACGCCACATTTACCAGAAATTCAAAGAAAAGCATATGAATTTCCAGAAACCATCCAACACCAACAAAAACCCATATCAGAAAAACCACATTGAGAACCCTAATTTGGCCAATTACGAACCTTCTCAACGGGGAGAAAATAACAAGCTAAGACAATTGCAGCTACAAGGATAAGGAGAACAGAAATCCGGAGAGCAGATCCCCACGTGAACGCCATGAACGGCGACTCTACGATGCTAAATCGCCTCCGGTGACTATTTCAAAGGCGTTGCCGGATCTACTGATTGTTTTTTCTTTGACACGCGAGCTATTGAACCACAACAAACCGAAATTTTCCGACAAAAACCGCAACGAGATCTTTAAGGATGCGGAAAATCTGGTGCTGGTGCTTGCCTTGGAGATGATGTAATCCGAAACCGAAAAAGACAAACTTTTTTTTTGGATTTGGGGGGGGGGGGGGGGGGTTTCGTGAAGGTGTGGATTCAATTGTCGTTGATTTGGTTTGGGGAGTCCATGTTTAGCGTAAGCATAAGAACTGTGACTGGTTACATTAAACCGCGTGGCGCGTACCGACTTCCTTGCCGTCCTTAATCGATTTCGATATTATCTTAAAATATTCTTCTTCTTTTTTAATCATAAATATTCTAATTCTCGTTTTTATTTAGAATTATATACGATGAGATTTTAATATTTTACTCTCTTATTTAAATGACCAGAAGTTTTCTTTTAAATGATAGTATAAAATAATGACATTATAAAAAGAAGAAAATATGTTTGACCAAAAAATTAATAATAAAAAACAATGAAATTCAATAGCACAAATGGTATTTTTCATTATGTTCATTATCAAAATATTTAATTATTCAAAGTACTGATTCTTCGTTAATTAGAAATTTTTTATTTGAATGACGAACTTTTCAAAAGAAAAAAACATGCGTAAGCGGATGATTTGTCATTTGAAAATGAAGGATGACGATCTATTTTTCTTCAGCTTTGACTAAATACGAAATTTTATGGCTAACATAATAATCAACAAAGTCTACGCAAGACAAATAAAAGAATCTCCTAAGTCCTAACCAAACTTTAAAACAGCTCTCTCTAGCCTACACAAACTGCATTTAACAAGACATGAACAAGCATGAGATCAACAAAGTACTGATGCCCAATCTCGCCGTCTCTCCACCGCATCTTCGCCGGAGCTCTCCCATAGTGAACCCCATCGTTACACCGGTTATCAAAATGCCACGGATACGTCATATCGAAGTTATCAATCACACTCGAGACCAATCCTAACCCGTTCATTTTCTCCAAAAACACCCCATTGTACACTTCCATCTTGCTTGGGTTAAACGCAAGCATCCTCGCGTAACCGCCTGTCGCGATCGTGTTCCTAAAAACCACTTCCGGAGGTTGCAATCCGCGGGCTTTCACCGAGTCGAAAACGTTTCTCCAGAACCGAGCCGCGGTTTCTGCTCCTTTCGTAAAGGCTCTAAGGTTAGACCAGTGAACACCGTCGTGTAGACCCGAGTTAACGATCATCACGTCCGGTACACCGGTCTCTTCGGCGAAATAGCTTTTAAGCAACTCTCTAAAGCCATCATCTTTAAGTGAATCAAGACCTTGATAGTTTTGTGTCTCGTTCCAATGTCCATTGAAGATACTCGTGATCCTAACTGTTTCCGATGAGTTCTTCGGATTCGAGAACTTCAAATCGAATCTCCTTGGCACGGCCCCGATCTCTGGATGACCCAAGACAAAATTCAACAAGTTTCTGATCGAATCAACATGATTAGAGTCTCCCCAGAAGAAAATCCATTTATTCTTCAAACAATTCCAAGCTGATTCACAAGAGAAGAGCTTAAACGAGCAATGACTCGAGTAAACCCAACCGTTGCTTTCTAACTCCGATAAAGCTCCGTCGCACCATGGTTTCCGGCAACGAAAACCATCCGGTAAGCAACGGTAACGCCCATCGTTGCTGATTTCACACTCGTCGTTCTTACCAAGCCTAATCCACCGTCCGGACCAAACATCTCTGTCGAAATCGGACCGATCACATCTCCGAAGCTCCGGTAAAACAACGTCGGGGTTCTTAATAAACCGTAGTTTGAAATTCCGTAGCTTTTTGTTGAAAGCGAAGCGCGCGGGGCTAAACTTAAGACCTTGGAAGTGACGGAAGAGTAAAACAACAGTGAGATTATAATCTCCGGCGAAATCAGGATGAATCTGAAGAGATAAAGAGTAAGTTCCGTTTCCTAAATCTTTCACCGGTGGTCTCGATTTCCAGTTTTCACCGGAAAGATCAGTCTCGAAGTAATCTCCACCGATACAAACTCGTTTTCCAGAATCATCTAAGGATTGAAATCTGAATTCGTGAATCTCACCAGCCGCTAACTCTACTAAATCCTTCCCGTCGATTCCCGGAACAAAAATCTCGACGGTCTTTCCTTCTCTGCACTTCTCTCCTCCCGGAGCTAGCCAGTTTTTCAGTACATTCGCCGTGAAGTTCTGCTCTTGCTCGACGGAGATCCAAGAAAACTTCACTCGGGTCGGATTCAGATCCAGTGGATTGGTCGTCTTCGAAGTTAGATCTCCATGAGAAGTGAGTCGTATGGAGTAAGCGTTGAATCTCCATGATTCGATGAAGCTTTTGATTGTACAACCGTCAATGCTCCAGACAACAACCATGAGGAAGAAGACGAGGGATGTTAAAGCGCTTAATCTCCATTGATGCAGAGGACTCACCGCCGACGGAATCACTACTTTCTCCGGCATCTGAAGAAGCCTGAGAAAGATGACAATCGGAAAGAAATCAAATTGGCGACTAGGGTGGGATTTTTATTATTTTTCCTAATTTCTATTTTCTGGAGAAGGACATAAAAATGTCCCCAAAAGTAATTAGGTAAGAATTTAGAGATTGGTCGGAAATTCAATCTGCTCTGCCAAAAGGCGGAAGAGTAAGAAAATGACAATTTTTATGTACAGACGATTATACCCTTGTGAATCGGCAGATATTAGCATTGGTTCGAAACCGGTGATCGCGCCAACTAATGAGCACCGACATGTGTTGTTGGCCAAAGGAAGCGTGTTCAGAAGTCGCGTCGGCGTGACGTTGTAATAATGTACGGTGGGAATTTTATGACAATGTCGGCGTCACGTGTCTTGTTTGTTTGGTCATTGTCGCAACGCCGCTTACAAATTCTTTGCCGGGATAAAATTTAATAACTTATAGTGTAAAAGAATATATTGAGATTTTAGTGGCTAAACCACTAATTAGTTGAAGATTAGGTTTTGAGATTGGAACTTCATAATTTACAGTTTTTTACAAAAACATTTACAGTATTTTTATTAGGCTGCCCCACCAATGATCGGTTATCCTCTGAAATTCCTTTTTGTATAACTGAAAACTTGTTGCTAACAATGATAGACATTTTTGTTAAACAAATAATCTACATAATTAATTCTAAATTGGAATATATTGGTATAAATTTTTAACAATAAAAAAGAAAGAGATATAGCTTTATTACTATTAGTATGATGTTGATTGTTTTAAGAGGAAGCAGTTATATCCACTACTGGAAATTTCTGTTATTTACCTAACCTTGGGACAGCTCAATGCCTATTATTGGCGTCAGTGTTTGGTAATAATTTCCTTATGTTCTATCATCTTTACCTTTTTACCTTTGGTTTTTTACTAATTCAGAATTTTCATGTTCCTAAGCATCTCTGTTCGAACTGAACTTAAGGACTCAGCAAGAAAACAATTTTGGTTAAAGACAAAACAAAGCAACAAAAGAAGGATTATATAATAAGGAAGACATTTTTCTTAATGATCCAAGTAATATATCAGAACAAAAGGACAATAATTTACTTTTTTACTTTTTAAGGATAAATGGTTATGAATCAGCCAAGATGTGAATTAATTCATGAGATTCAGATTTGGATAAGTTTTTCATCCACATAAATGGAAAAAACAGATTTAGCTCCAAGGATCATCCCAACCACTGGGTCCTTCTCTTTTGACAAAACCAATAATGGCTTGAACAGCTTCATGAACTCTATTGGAGAGAGAGTGGTTCCCATGCTCTATCTCCACTTTCTCTGCTCCTCCCATTGCTTTACTTAATCTGTAATCACAGACTTCAAATCAATCCTTTTGATCTCCTTGTTCATGTCCAATCATTTCGATATCATTTTGATCCAAAGTTTGCATCTAAAGTTCTCTACATATACCTATTTTAACTTAGATTCCAAACATAATGAGCACAAAGGGGACATTCTTTTATATCTAAAGGTATCCTCAGTTCTAGATTCTCTTATTGTTGCTTTAGTTATATGGACTCACCTATTAACCAGTGCTTTTTTGTCGACATAATCTGGTACATACTCATCACCCATGGAGAAAATCACCTGTTTAGAACCCGAACATAGATGCTATAAGAAGCTAGTCAATGCCCAATTGACCACACCTAGAAACAATTATTTTCACCGGGTATGGAAATGCTTTTGATGGTTACTTTTGTTTTACCTGACAAGGTGTGTGAGCCATATGTCCAAGTCTAGTTTTCAACTGATCATCACTAAGGTCAGAACTAAACATATCGTCGTCTCCCATGTAAGCGCAGAGGGAGTGATATCTGCATGACGTAAGCAAAACATTGACTTTTGTATATAGACATGTTCAAAACACCATTTCTGCGACTATGGTACAAGGAAATATATATTTACCTATAAGCAGAGATTGGAGCACAAGGATCAGCTTCTCTAGGCATTAGCTCCTCTTCTCGACCTTCTTTTATCATGTTTGCAGCCAAGTCTATCATAGCTGGTGTCTCAGGAAGCGTTGCTTTGTACTCTCTGTCGCTGACCGGTGCCTATGTAAACATTGCATTAGGCAATATGATCAAAGCTACACTCCAGTCAAAACATACGATATAGCACACTACACAAGATCCAACTCAAGGCCTTTCACATAAGAGAACACGTAGCCTTAAGAGAAGCACGAAACGTACAAGTCAAAAAATCTAGAACTAGCACCTGCAAAATTGCAGCTCTGACAGCTCGGGAGCATGCAGCATTTGTTCCCATATAGTACACAATGTCCTGTTTCAAAGTGCGAGAAGACAATTGTATCTGTCATAACTTTTCTTTCAGAACCATGACCAAAAAGTGTTTAAGGGCTTAACCAATCACCTGGCAGCCAGTGCTATGACCAAGTAGAACAACGCCTTCAGAGTTCTCTTTATTGATGAGGTAGTTTATAAGCTGGTCGATTTCTTGTGCATCCTTCATCAAAAGTTACAAGGAAATATTGTTAATTACATTGCTCAACTGAGAAATTGTTAGTTTTCCCCCAGAGTCTATCAATATTACAAGGCAAGATGAAATCCATATTAAGTAAATCTTTACTTGTTTCAAGCTGGAAGTGCCAAATCCAGAATATGACGAGGACATCAGTAGTTGAACAAGTGACCATTTCTCTTTATCCAAAGCAATTGCAAGAGGTTCCAAGTAACTGAAAAAGCCAATTTGTAAATGTTCTATCAATTAATATACATGACGAAACAAGATTCGAAAGGGAATCTGCAATGTACACAATTTCTGCCAAAAGATAATAAGATTTAGGTCAAAGAGAGAAGCTACATACTCAGTAGCTAAAAGTCCATCGGTTAATCCACCGATAAATATCACTTGTTGTTTATACTCTCCGGTCTTAAAAGCAACCTGGAGATACATATGAAACAGAAAAGCAAGCTGTTGTTACTACCAGAAATCTACCCTTGAAAAAACCACTAGCCATAGATACTCATACATATAACAATCTCTAGTAAATCCATTCTGAAAATTCAGAAAGGATCCATCTTTGTTAACTCTGATCACTGCTGCTATATAAGTGGTCAACTAAAATCATCTAACATCATGGCTTGCTACGTTGACCTAAATTGTCTTTCCTCAACGAATCATAAACATGATCAGCAAACAAGCTTGTGCTAAAACAATCCCGAACCAATATAACAAACAGAAATGCTTAAATTACTTAGAAATCCAGAAGAAGCTATAGTTTTTAGTTTAAGCAACCCTAGAATTACGAAAGATAAATTTATTATTCAAGTTTTTCCCTTTTTGCTTCCAAGTAACTCAAAAGCAATCATATTTAAGAAATCGATATCGAGAAGAGAACCTGGATGGATTTGGGACCGTATTTGAACAAAACTCCTCGAAATTGATTCTTCCCTTTGATTGGTCCTCCGTAATCTCCGCTTCCACTTCCTCCTCCAGCCATGGAAGAGCTTTTAGATAGCTTCGCGGTGCCGGATTTGTCACCACGGCCGCGAACGATTCCGGAGAACCAGGACGTGGTCGTTGAGGAAGACGAAGCAGCCGCCGGAGAAGACGATGATCCCGATGTCGACGCCGCCGCCGCTGCTGCTGCGGCGGAAGAAGAGGGTAGCGAGAGAGACATGTTTGGCGACTGTGTGTGGCGGTTTCAGATTTCGTTTTCGAGACAAATGAATGAAAATTTCAGAGAGTGAATTACACGCGCCGTCATGAGCGTGACGAGAGAAAGTCGCTGGTATACATGTCGGACTTTTGAAGTTTTGATTGCGTCTCAATTTTTATGTTATAAATCTTATATTATAACGTCTAAATACATAATTAGTCTACTCTAATCTTAACTACGATGGCTCATAATGTAGTTATAATACTCCATATTTGACGAGTACATTATTTCGTGTCATTGTCATGTATGGTTTGTAAGATAATACTAATTCTTATTTGACGAGTAAATGTTAGACATTTATTAGGAGTTTAGTGGCCAACTTTTAAAAATTAATAAGAAGGCCTAAGGTTAATTATTTTGGCCCAATATTGGCAATGTATAAATCCGTTAGTAAAGCCCAATAAAAGACTTGCCAAGTTTAAAAGCCAACTACGAGGATTGTATCATTGAGCCCGTCCCAACATGTTTTTGCCATCCATTGTGGGTTTTTAACGTTCAGGAATTCTTAAAGATGTTGCTTTAGTTTCGGTCAGTGTTCTAAAAAGCAGTCTAGGCGGTCGCTTAGGCCCCGACTAGGCGTTAGGCTCTCATGCGACGCCTAGATAACCGCCTTGACCGTCTAAAATTATATAGATCTTGTTTAATGTATTTTTTCAATTTCAATTAGAGTTTTATTTATATATATAGTTATAAATATTCATATATTGTTTAATATAAATATAAATAAATATTTTATCTAATTTTTATTTATAATTTCATAATTTTTAGTTTTATATAGATATTTTATATAACTTTTATATATAATATCATATTGATAATGTTTTATGTTATAAACGTCCAAACCGCCTAAAAAATCGTCTATGCTCCGATTAGGCGTTCTAGGCGCTAGGCACTGGGTCACCGCCCGCTTAGCGCCTAGCGCTTTCTTGAACACGGGTTTTTGTAAATGGTAAATGCAAGCATCAAACACACACACAGAAAAACGTACCTTGTATACATGCATACGTACCATTTGTACTTTTAATCGGAGCATGTATTGTTTCTTTGACCAGACGACAAGTTTAAAGAAACGATAGTGATTTCCAAGATGGCAACATAGAATAAGCCAAAGATTTTCGTTGTTGTCTCGTAAATGATTCAGAAATGATAATGCTTATTGACTAGTACTTTAGTATAGTGACTAAAACCTTTAACAAACCAAATTTAGTGTAGTGACTTTCTCTAGAGTTTTTTTTTTTTTTTTTTTCCAGTCAATATCTATAGATAATTTTGTTGCTATGATTATTCTAAAATTATGTGTTTCTGTGCAAACGTATAATACAAAGCCAAATCCATCCGACAAAACAAAATGTCTGATTCAGAACTCCGCACCACGCCAGCAATTTTCTTAATCTACTAGTGCGACTAATAATTAGCTTTTTATTGTTTAGTTAATGACAATATTTTGATAATGATAATAACACATTAGCAATATTTTTATAATATCCAGAGAGGCAGAGACGATTGTTTGATTTGACCGTTCATCAATATAGCCATATCTGTATATTGATGAACTTTAATAAGAAGCAAAAGTAAAAAAAAAAAAAAAAATAGAACTATGATAAAGAAAAAAAATTAGAATGCGAACAGTTGCAGCATTGTAGTTTGTAATATTACTGGTGCGTATATAATTTTCAGAAATATCTTATTTGAGTTAATATTTATACCAAATTATCCTACATTTTTAACGTTTTATACGATTACTTTGAGCTGTAAATTAATAAGTGCATAAAAAGAGGCTAGACTCTAGAGAAACACAATGAAACTCGATCCATGCATGGTCATGGTTGGTAATTTTGTATGTTTTAGATTTTATTTTAAAAGTTTAGGGGTAAACCTATGCAACTCTATAATGTGTAAATAGGAACACGAATAGGAGTGAAGATAAATACTATATGCGTTCGAATCTAACTATGTACTGAATGTACATAATGTATTTCTTTCTAAATTATATCAATGTCCATTATCGAATACTCTATCAAATCCAAAATAATTAAGGTACGGGTGTAAGTATTTTCTTGAGAGAGAGAGAGAGAGAGAGCGAGAGAGAGATTCTAAATGAAATTGTGTGGTTGATTAATCATTTGCAAATGACTACACATGTAGAAAAATCCCCCTTTTGTGCTCAAAATACATATAGTACTCTTTAACCAAAACACCACCATCTTTCTATCTACACGAATCGTGTTTTTTTTTTATTGTATTGTACTCAATTTTATTAGAAAAGTGAGATTATGAGTTATGTACTAACGGAACAAGACTTCTTACATTTGTGCAACGCAGCCAACACTTGAGCTTAAATCCAACAACTATATAGCGATGAAGGTAAGCTGGCTAGTTTGGGCTAGCTAAGTTCTAACTTCGATATTGATGACGTTCGAATATTAGAGTTTGGCTGTAAATTCAACTTTTGGTTTCACATAAAATTACTAAAATACTTTCTTTTAAATTAATTAGTATGCATTTTAATAAAAAGAAGTCAGTGATCCCTATTTTTCTTTATGATTGATGAACCAAACGAGTTCATATGCTTGTTTATATATTTTGCTTTAACCTTAGATCATGTGCAATGAGAGGTTCTCTCAAAATATATTACTAATATATATAAATTAGTTTAATTGAATAATTAAATTTTAAGTGATGAATTTTATTGAAAACCAATTACATGTTGTAATGTGTGACATGAGTCTCTCAAGAGGTTTTCAAAAGTTCTCATGTGAGAATTCATGCTCATGTCTCTCTCTTATTTTTATTTATTTTTATTTTTTATATTCTTGATAACACTTATGAGATCTACTACTACATATGCTCTTAATCTTTTGCTCGAAGTTTTCGCAGCGAATTTACGATGTAAACCACCTACACCTTCATCTAGTTGAGCTTCCTCGGGAATATTTTATAATTGTAGTATTTTTGTTCATTCTGTTCTTAATCTATTTATTACTTGATTAATTTGTCTCGTTGTATGTGTATTTATTCTTATGCCTTTCTCCGATGGATTCCAAAATATGTTATAAAATATGAGAAACCCTATCTCCACTTTGGACCATGATAACATTTTTAATTTTAAAGGGCACACTAATTTAATATTTTTAATCAATTTGTTATTTTCTATTAAATTTTGATAGTTGTAATATTACTATTGTCGAACCGAATAAAATTTTATTTTTATTTCTAAAATAATAATGGGTCATGGTAAGTCTTTGGCATCGGCCCCTACCAAAGAAGAAAAACTAAAGAAAAGAAAAAAGAAAATTCCGAGAGAATAAATAGCTATCAATGTCAAATCTATGTTTCTTTTTAATGAGTGTACGGATACCTTTTCTAAAAAAAAAAAAGTATAACCCAATTAACATGTGTAAGGATTTTTAGTCAATAAAAGTGTAAAAAAAAAACATATATAGATGGTTTCCGCGAAACGAATATATATTAGGGGGACTCACAAAAATGCCCCCTTTTTAATACCCCTTTTCAAAAATACCCCCTCCCTAATAGCTTCCCTGAAATTGACTATTTTACCCTTAATGAGTAACCAAATTGACCAATTGAGGAACCAAATTGAAGAAGAGAAAACTGGGGAACGACGAACAAAAATCTCGGCGTCTCTCGTCACCTTCACAGCCGACGAACAAAAGGTGATGAGATCTTAGATCCGTCGATATCTTCATCTTAGATCCGTCGAGTTCAATCGAGTTCAATCGACGAGGATCAATCGATTCTGTAATCAAAAATCTGTGACTCATCCCAATCTGCATCAATTAGGTTCGAATCGCTTCTGAAATCTGAACCGTTTAGATCCAAAAGTTCATCGATTTCGTCTTCAAATCTGAATTGATTAATTAAGAGCTTCGATTCTGTGTTTATCTATTTTCTCGAATTTGTCTTGCTTGAAAATTATAATTCGTGTTACCTTTAAAAACTTTCTAAAACCATTGTAAAAATTTCTTCTTCATCTTCTCACTGTATTTATGTTCTTCAGTAACTATTGTACACTATTAGTGAAATAATTTTGATTTACCGTGTTTTTTGTGAAGATTGTAAACCTTTAAAAAATATTGTAAAACCATGAAGAACTTTATAAATACCTTGTGAACTATCATAAAGATACATATGTTTAACATTATAATACATTATCTTTTTATCAGGTCGTAATGATTGAGTTGAATTGCATATCTGGTGTTTGGAAACTGAAAAATAACAATTGTTGGGATTTTAAATTTGATGTTGAAAGAGGAGGGTCTCTTACTTTTATCAATGAGGATACGTGTTTCACTGATTTGTGTGCTGTTATTATAGAAGATTTTGGAATTGATGTCGGTATTAATATAGTGAAACTCAGTTATTGCACTTACCCCTCCGACCGT